TCTCAAACATAAGTTAATTGAAATGGTCAGTGCCTGAGGCCTTCGCAGAGGTTTATCCCACGAAGGATCACTGTCATCACTTTTAAACCAAGTATTTGTACTATTTGCAGTTGCACTTCAACTGATCAACTAAATGTATTTGCTCGCTATCTCTGTCTCTCTGTCTATCTGATACATATTTCCACCCACAACTTACATATTTTCACCAGGTCATGCTTTTTAAACATGGCCAAATTATTGAAACCAAGCCCAAACTCTTAACCAATACTCTTCCTCTTAAATAATAATAAGCCATTTAGCAGACGCTTTTATCCAAAGCGACTTACAGTCATGTGCGCATACATTTTTACGTATGGGTGGTCCTGGGGATCGAACCCACTACCCTGGTGTTACAAGCGCCATGCTCTATCAATTGAGCTACAGAGGACCACATCCTCTTAAGGATGGTCAATTTGAAAAGACCCTTCCGTTTTCATTGGAATGGCACTGGAGGTGAAGAGATGGCCATGAGTGCTCACTCTACCACAGTAGACTTCTGAGGGTATTTGATGACTTTGGTAAGTAATAAAGCATTTGTTTGTAATATCTTACAGTAAACAAAAACCTTTCAACTTCATCTACATAACCTTTTTAGTGTCAAAAATATATACATTACTCGACAAGTTCAAGCCAATTTTCTTTTCATTTTCAAATGATATATACCACTTGATTATGCCTTATGCCTTAATTGTTGTAGCATAACTGTGTTCTGATGTCATAACTGGAACAATAAGAAACTACTACTGGATATAGTCCATGGGATAGTTTTTGTTGTCATGGGAGACTTTTAAAACAAATTATTTGGCTGGCCACCACTTTACAACTCAGAAGGCATGGTTTTGCAGATAGTAAAAGTGAACTAAACAGTTTCGGTAAGCGATTGCTCGTTTCAAGGTGAAATCATTGAAGGAGAAAACCTAAAAGCTCCGTTTTGAGTTACAGCAGCTGACAATCTGCAGCGGATGTTGTTTATATAAAGCATTATGCATCCATCAACTCAGTGGCCTTGGGGTTCGTGTCGGCCCTGAGATTGGAAGGTTGGGTTAGATCCCCAGTTTAGTCATACCTAAGACTCTAAAAATCAGGACCCAATGCATCTCTACTTGGCACTCTGCATTAAGCAGATGGATTCGGGGGAAAGGCATTGCGATAGACTAGAGTCCTGTCCAGGGAGTGTACTTGTATATCAAGCTGCCTCACACTACTGAAATAGGAGATAGGCTTCTGCCCTATGGGCTGTTATGGCTGGGACAAGGCTAATTATGATGCATCCAGAGGTAACATTATTTCCCCTACATTTTCCACCAAACCTAAACTTGTTAAGGTTGTTGATTATTTTTACTATGTGAAATGCAAAGTTGTCTATGTTGTTGACCCCGAATATACTGTATATATATATACACATATATATATATATATATATATACACACATATATATACATATATATATATATATATGTGTGTGTATATATATATATATATGTGTATATATATATATATGTGTATATATGTATATATATATATATATATATATATATATATATATATATATATATATATATATATATATATATATATATATATATATATATATATATATATATATATATATATATACAGTATATTCGGGGTCAACAACATAGACAACTTTGCAATAGACCATTAGCAAACTGAAACAAGTTCAGAAATAGAAAAATATATAAATGATTATTGTGTCCGCCCACCCAGAAATATCATAGAACCGGCTCTGATATGAGTTGACTTGTTCCTATTGTTGAATATGGTATATATATATATACCATATTCAACAATAAAAAAACAAGTCAACTCATATCAGAGCCGGTTCTATGATATTTCTGGGTGGGCGGACACAATAATCATTTATATATTTTTCTATTTCTGAACTTGTTTCAGTTTGCTAATGGTCTGTTGTTGGACGGTAATAGAGTAATTGTATAGCAGCTTTTGTCATTTTTTAATATTTTTTTGATTAGATTGGATTACCTTTAACTATTTTTTTTGTCTGTATTATCTTTAATCAATGCATGGTCAAGGTATTGCCTGTCCAAAAGGCTTGCCACGGTCGGTAGTAGCATAAAAACCAATGTGATGAACTACAACCTGAGGAGACAAGGTTTATCATCACAGCTCCCACAGACCCTGGTGTATATACAATTAGGCTACATCATATACGCCCACTCTACATTGACACCGAAGGGAGGGAGGGTCTTTAAATTAAATAGCCAGGCGGCCTCTCGTTTTATCAATAAATAACAGAGGTGCATAAAGATGTACTTACCACAAATCCCTTGTTTTGCTAAGTTCGCCGTATATTATATTGCTGTCCGTTACTGTTTTTTTTTTATACCAATTTTAGCTCCAAGACGGCAGCAATTAGAAAAATGAAAAAGTAGATTGTGCTGATTTACTGGCACATTGAACCATGTCGCGCACCGTAGTTTACAAACTCAGTGGATAGTGCTAAAACAATTATGTCATATGTGAATTCTGCCATCTTTATGCACGTTCGCCATTGTCAAGGTCACCCCCTCTCCTAGGGAGGGTGACGTGTACAATGTCGATATAGCATATATCAAAGAGAGAAAATAGAGTGGTTAGCTTCTAAAAAATGGACAGGAGATACGGTGCTCAGAGATTCTTACTTTTAGTTTGCACTTTGTTTTGCCCACATAATTTTAAGCACAAGGACAAGTTATTCGATAAATACTGTAACTTCCTTAGAGATAACACCTTTGATTGGGATCTGCTTCCCTGTTTGGGGGTGTTTGAAGGATCTACATGTATAAATTCCATTGCATTGAACACAGCCATTACACTTGTAGTGTCCATCCAATAGAGGCGCAAAGAGACGTTGTGTGGCTGTATTTTGGGGTGGTAAATCAGAGTTTAGCAATTGATCTCTGAGATTTAAATATGACAATATTTAAGGTAACACTTCCTTTGAAGGGGTCCTTATTAGAGTGTAATTACATGTGTAATTACATCAGAACAAGTATTGTAGTTAACTCTAACAACCAATAGTTACACTTTAATAACAACATGTAGCTAGCGGTAATTGTGGTCTGTAATTACAAAGGTTTAACAATGAATGCTTGTTACCATGCTTGTTACAAATGGGCAGGCTTCCTCTAAATTAAAAAGGTCTTGTTTTATTTCTTCTCAGCTGCATCCGATTCAGTAACAACTGTCACAAAGGTTGTGACCTCTCGTGGATGCGCTGGGCATCTGAGAGATTATGCTCAATAGGCTCTAATTACTTACCCATGAATGTGCACTGTTGAAAATATATCTCCACTCAACGTTATTGCTAGCACTTTCCACCAAAATAAAGTGTACCATCTGGTACATTACACATCCTGACAACCTGACCCTCATTTGAAAGATTCTGGAAGTTTCACTTCATTTCTGTACATCATTGTGAAAAGACATGTTGTTATTACACTGTAACTATGAGTTATTACAGTAAACTACAATACGTGTTAGTGTAATTACACATGTATTTACACTGTAGTAAGGACCTTTTAAAATGAAGTGTTACCATATTTAATAATAATAATAATAATAATAATAATAATAATAATAATCTGTGCATTTTGATTCATGAAAATATAGTGACTCTTCGGTCAAATAGTAGGGGTTTCCTGTGTGTATCAAGAATGATCCACCACCCAAAAGACATCCAGCCAGCTTGACACAACTGTGGGAACCATTGGAGTCAACATGGGCCAGCATCCTTGTGTAATGCTTTCGACACCTTGTAGAGCCCATGCCCGGACGAATTGAGGATGTTCTGAGGGCAAAAGTTGTTCCTAATGTTTGGTATACTCAGTGTATGTGTGTGAGAGAGATGCAACAAACCCAGATAAATCAAATCAAATTGTATTTGTCACATGCGCTGAATACAACAGGTGTAGACCTTACCGTGAAATGCTTACTTACAAGCCCTTAACCAACAATGCAGTTTAAAGAAAAATAAGAGTTAAGAAAAATATTTACTAAATAAACTAAAGTAAAAAATAAAGAGCAACAATAAAGTAACAATAACGAGGCTATATACAGGGGGTACTGGTACAGAGTCAATGTGCGGGGGTACAGGTTAGTCAAGGTAATTGAGAGAACAGTCGATGACTCGGGTGGCTGGAGTCTTTGGCAATTTTTAGGGCCTTCCTCTGACACCGCCTGTTATAGAGGTCCTGGATGGCAGGAAGCTTGGCCCCCTTGCGGTCGGAGGCTGAGCAGTTGTCATACTAGGCGGTGATGCAACCAGTCAGGATGCTCTCGATGGTGCAGCTAGCACAGATACCTCTGTACAACAGATGTACAGTATACGTGATGCATCGGGAAGATGCAATTTAAACATAGTTTGTTATTTGGCTAAATGTCTCACAGATGTATTCAGAATACCTACATTCTAAATTCTACAGTGTTTATATGTTGGCCAGGTATCAACAATCTATACAGAGGTCTGGGCGACGTCTCTCCAATGTGCAAACGCTTTCCACTCTACATTGTGATATGTCAGCCAAAGGTGTTTGTATTTCCTGGGAAGGGAGGTCTTTATAACAACAGCACAAAAGAGCTGGGGATTTAGTGTAAACTGGCAGTGGCAATGTCCCTGAACAATGTGGTTATAATGGACTTGATAGTAACAACCAACCCCACATTCCATGTGACAACCATCCTAATGCTAATTATGCTAGTTACTACATGGTTTGAACGAGCAACTCACAAATAGGTTTGGAATGTAGCTCTCCGTTCCCTCTTTTCAACAAACATAATTGTTCATGTATACTCCCATAAAATGTTTTGAACGAAACCTTACATACATATTTGCCCATTGTAGAAGTGCTCAGAAAGTGACTTTTCTCCCTGTGTTCTACCTCTCTCTTCTCCTACCTCTCCATGTATCTGAGTAGCTCTTCAGGCTAGTTACAAGAACTCATTTGCACATCTCCCACAGTCTTTCTATCAGTCCCTCTATCTCTCCATCCCTTTCCACAATCACTCTATCCTTCTCCTTCATCTCTATATCCTTCTCATTCATCTGTCTATTCTTCTCCTCCATCTGTCTGCTGAACTCCCTCTGCATCTTTGTCTGTGAGATCATGATGTTCCTCTGTAACTCAGGTAGGACTATCTTCATCAGGTTTCTCTCTGCTTCAACTCTGACCTCTCCTTCATAGTTCTCCCTCATCTCCTCTATCTCCTGTCTGTGTCTCTCCTCCATCTCCCTCCTCTCATTCTCTCTCTTCTCTCTAAATCTCTCCAGCTTTCTCTCCATCTCCTCCCTCCTATCAGACTCTCTCTTCAGCTCTCTCTCCAGCTCTCTTTTCTTTTCCTCATCACCCTCTTCTTTCAGCTCTCTCTCCAGTTCAGTGGTTCTTTCACTGAGTATTCTGATATCTCCTTCATGTTCCTGGATCACTCCCTCTATCTTTATCAGAGAGTCCTGCAACTCCTCCTGAAGCCTCACTCTCACCTCTCTCTCCTCCCTCTGTTTCCTCTCCTCTTTCTCCCTCTGGATCTTTCCCTCCATCTCTCTGACCTGGTCCTCTGCCTCCTGGTAGGTCTGACTGCTGTAGAATCTCTCTCTGTTTCCTGCCACCATCTCCTCTACCTGCTCCAGCAGCTCTGGGACCTGAGTGCCATGGGCCCTGTCCTTAATGTTGAGGACGTGGTACCTGCTCCCACATTTCTCTACAAGCTGCTGGAGGTCCTGACTCCCTGCTTGGAGAAACTCCTCAATGCTCTGCTCTTTCAGGCCATCAGCATGGGTGAATAGAATCACAGTATGTTCCCAACAACCCTCCCCAAACATCTCCTCTATTCTCTCCAGCACCCCTCTCTCCTCCCCCCTGGAGGGCTCCACTGGTATGACCAGGAGGAAGGTGTGGGGTCCCGGGGCAGACAGACGGACACAGAGCCCCACATCCTGTCTCATCTCTTCCAGAGAGAGTCCAGGACAGAACCAGTCTGGAGTGTCCACCAGCACCAACCGTCTCCCAGACACTTCCCCCTCTCTCCTCTTACTCCTCTGGGTCACTGCAGAAGGGCTGGCCTGGCCCCCAAACTCCTCTCTGCCCAGGATGGTGTTTCCTGCTGCACTCCTCCCAGCCCCAGTCCTCCCCAGCAGCACCAGTCTCAGCTCAGACACACTTGGAGACACTGGGGAGTCTGGACTGCTGCTCTCTCCTCCCACTGCAACACAACACAACACACAGCACTGTTCAACACACTGACCTTCTGGAGGATGTACAACACAGTGTCAAATATAATGTAAGCTACATCCATAACTCACTGCCTGGAGGAATTAACTCCATGCTGTTTCTCCTCCTCAGTGGAAGTGTGGGGTCTGTACCGGAGTTCTCTCCTCCCACTGTAACACAACATAGAGAACTGGTCAACATACTGACTCATCAGAGACACATTTAAAAACATAGTATACACAAACTACAAATACATATTATGTGAAATATAGATTATTGGAGAAAATAGTGAATATAAAGATTGATGACAGTTTGAGACAACATTGACAACTCACTAAGTGAAGGATGGTCCACTATAGACTAGAAACAGTAGGAGAAAGCAGGACAATATTGATAACTCACTGAGTGGAGGACCATCCATGCTGTGTCTCCTCCTGACTGGGAGTATGGAACCTGTATCTGAGGTGTCTCCATGTTCTAAAACAACAAATAACATCCATTTATAATGGGAACATTTACCTCAGTAACACATGAAGGCACATAGACCTACTTAAGGGTAGTTCTGGGTTTCTCGTGAAATGTTAGTGTTAAGTATCACATATCTCACTCACCAGTCATCTGGGCGGAGGTCTCTCTTCTCAGTCTCTCTAGCTCAGTCTTCACATCACATATCTGTTGAGCTGAAATAACAAAGGAAGACTAACATCTGAATTCTGTGTTAAAGACTTTAGACAGAAATATGATGCAGAGGGAAAGTGATGTAAAACAATATTCCTGAGAATTGAGGAAAGTACAGTAGACTAAATGTATTAATGGTAGTAATAATCTTACCCAGTTTGGCATTTTCATTGTTGACATCCTCCACTTGTTTGTCTCGTTCCTTTAACTGCTTCTCTCTCTCCTCTAGTAGTTTATATGTCTCTTCTAGTTCCTGCCTCCTCTCTTTTAGTTCACTTTCTTTTTCTTCTAGTAGTTTGTCCTTCTCTCCCAGTCTATAGTTTCTCTCCTCTAGTTGAAGGTCTTTTTCCTTTATTTTCTTGTCTTTGTCTCCTAGTTCAACCTTCTTCTCCTTTATTTCATTATCTTTTCCCTCCAGTAGTCTCTCTTTCTCTCTCACTTCCTGGGTCATATCATCCAGTTGTTTGTCTTTCTCCTCTAGTTGTTTCATCATCTCATCTCTTAATATCTCTTTTAATTCTTTTTCCATCTTCAACTCTGAGAGAAAGCAATTAACATATTTAATTGGTTGTTTGATTAAGCAATTAATTCATTAATTCAATAGTATGCCTATAAAGACACATTATAATTTGATGGAGGTGGTACAATAATTGTTTTCTACAGTCAACAGTTATCTGAGCTGAACCAACAATCAACTGATCTATTGACTATTTGATACATTACCAAATGAATTAGTCTGAAAAAAGGAATAACATCACTAATGTTCCCTGAACCAATCCTCTCTCCTCCAGACTCTCTCATCCTTACCAAGCTCAACAGCTGATGCCTCCCTCTTCAACTTGTACTCCTGGGTCTCATCTTGTAAATAGTCTGAACCTGACAATATGGTGTAAAAAAGAGAGGTGAGATCTGTCTGGTAGACTACATCACTATATCCAGAACAAACAGGAACAATCAGATGTTTCCTGTCTCTCAAGCCTCCCTCATGTAGGGACTGTGGGTGCCAATAAGATCTGGTTAACTTAATTAATAATCTTTTTTTAGTTATTGGCCTATCCCTGATCAACATATTATTTTCATGGTTTGTGATAACCAGCACTGGGCTCTATGGCAGAAACACTATATTGTGTCAGGATCAGGGTTCTATGGAATATAAACTCAGCAAAAAAAGAAACGTCCTCTCACTGTCAACTGCGTTTATTTTCAGCAAACTTAACGTGTAAATATTTGTATGAACATAACAAGATTCAACAACTGAGACATAACCTGAACAAGTTCCACAGACATGTGACTAACAGAAATGGAATAATGTGTCCCTGAACAAAGGAGGGGTCAAAATCAAAAGTAACAGTCAGTATCTGGTGTGGCCACCAGCTGCATTAAGTACTGCAGTGCATCTCCTCTTCATGGACTGCACCAGATTTTCCAGTTCTTGCTGTGAGATGTTACCCCACTCTTCCACCAAGGCACCTGCAAGTTCCCAGACATTTCTGGGGGGAATGGCCCTAGCCCTCACCCTCCGATCCAACAGGTCCCAGATGTGCTAAATGGGATTGAGATCTGGGCTCTTCGCTGACCATGGCAGAACACTGACATTCCTGTCTTGCAGGAAATCACGCACAGAACGAGTAGTATGGCTGGTGGTATTGTCATGCTGGAGGGTCATGACAGGATGAGCCTGCAGGAAGGGTACCACATGAGGGAGGAGGATGTCTTCCCTGTAACGCACAGCGTTGAGATTGCCTGCAATGACAACAAGCTCAGTCCGATGATGCTGTGACACACCGCCCCAGACCATGACGGACCCTCCACCTCCAAATCGATCCCACTCCAGAGTACAGGCCTCGGAGTAACGCTCATTCCTTCGACGATAAACGCGAATCCAACCATCACCCCTGGTGAGACAAAACCGCGACTCGTCAGTGAACAGCACTTTTTGCCAGTCCTGTCTGGGCCAGTGCCGGTGGGTTTGTGCCCATAGGTGACGACGTTGTTACCAATGATGTCTGGTGAGGTCCTGCCTTACAACAGGCCTACAATTCCTCAGTCCAGCCTCTCTCAGCCTGTTGCTGACAGTCTGAGCACTGATGGAGGGATTGTGCGTTCCTGGTGTAACTCGGGCAGTTGTTGTTGCCAACCTGTACCTGTCCCGCAGGTGTGATGTTCGGATGTACCGATCCTGTGCAGGTGTTGTTACACGTGGTCTGCCACTGCGACGACGATCAGCTGTCCGTCCTGTCTCACTGTATCGCTGTCTTAGGTGTCTCACAGTACAGACATTGCAATTTATTGCCCTGGCCACATCTGCAGTCCTAATGCCTCCTTGCAGCATGCCTAAGGCACGTTCACGCAGATGAGCAGGGACCCTGGGCATCTTTGTTTTGGTGTTTTTCAGAGTCAGTAGAAAGGCCTCTTTAGTGTCCTAAGTTTTCATAACTGTGACCTTAATTGCCTACCGTCTGTAAGCTGTTAGTGTCTTAACGACCGTTCCACAGGTGCATGTTCATTAATTGTTTATGGTTAATTGAACAAGCATGGGAAACAGTGTTTAAACTCTACAATGAAAATCTGTGAAGTTATTTGGAATTTACAAATTATCTTTGAAAGACAGGGTCCTGAAAAAGGGCCATTTCTTTTTTTGCTGAGTTTACATTCAGTATAATTTCAAGAACATCTATACATCATAATCCAACCTACCTTGAGAACATTTGGGGAGAGTAATGATATAAATGTAAAGAAACTGATTTAATTTGTAGCCTTGAAGAAGACACACTGCTGTTCACAAGGCCTGTACTTATTCATAGTATCAGATTAACACTCCTGTCTTTTCTTTGTCTTGTGTTATTGTTTGTCAATAAACAAAAAAGACATAAGTAATTACTCACGTTTTACTGATAATCCATTGTCCAAGATGGAGAGTCATGAATAATGATCATGTAAAACAGAATGCATTAGTTATTATTGTTCATTGAATTTCTGTCTCATTACATAATTTAATGAAATACCATACATCATATTGGAATGACTGTTCATCACATTAATTACTAACGTACATCTAGGGAAAGGGATGTAAGCAGTGCTACTATGTGAGCAGTCTGAGAATGACTGAATGCTTCATACTATGACATCAAGCTGAATTCAAGCTGTTCCATTTTAATTTTGGTGTGTGAATTGTTGAGCTCTATGGCAGATATATTGTGGGAGGGCTATGGTATGTAAATTCAGGATAATTTGATGAACATCTATACATTATAATCCAACCTACCTTGAGAACATTTGGAGAGAGTATTGATAAATGTAAAGAAACTGAATTAATTTGGAGCCTTGAAGAAGACACACTGCTGTTCACAAGGACTGTACTTCTTTATAGGATCAGATTAACACTCTGGTCTGTTCTTTGTCTTGTGTTATTGGTTGTCAATAAACAAAAAAGACAAATAAGTAATTACTCACCCGCAACTGATCAACCATTGTTCAAGATGGAGATTCATGAATAATGATCATGTAAAACAGAATGCATGAGTTAATATTGTTCATTGAATTTCTGTCTCATTACATAACTTCATGAAATATCATACATCATATTGGAATGACTGTTCAACACATTCATTACTAATGTACATCTAGGGAAAGGGATGTAATCAGTGCTACTGTGTCAGCAGTCTTAGAACGTCTATATGCTTCATACTAGGACATCAAGCTGAATTCAAGCTGATTCCATTTTCATTTTGAGTGTGAATTGCTGAGCTCTATGGCAGATATATAGTGGGAGGACTATGGTATGTAAATTCAGGATAAATTGAAGAATATCTATACATCATAATCCAACCTACCTTGAGAACATTTGGGGAGAGTAATGATAAATGTAAAGAAACGGATTTAATTTGTAGCCTTGAAGAAGACACACTGCTGTTCACAAGGCCTGTACTTATTCATAGTATCAGATTAACACTCCAGTCTTTTCTTTGTCTTGTGTTATAGGTTGTCAATAAACAAAAAAGACATAAGTAATTACTCACGTCTTTCTGATAATCCATTATCCAAGATGGAGAGTCATGAATAATGATCATGTAAAACAGAATGCATTAGTTATAATTGTTCATTGAATTTCTGTCTCATTACATAATTTAATGAAATATCATACATCATATTGGAATGACTGTTCATCACATTAATTACTAACGTACATCTAGGGAAAGGGATGTAATCAGTGCTACTATGTGAGCAGTCTTAGAATGTCTGAATGCTTCATATTAGGACATCAAACTGAATTCAAGCTGATTCCTTGTTAATTTTGGAGTGTGAAATGTTGAGATCTATGACAGATATATTGTGGGAGGGCTATGTGAAATGTTGAACTATATGACATATATATTGTTTGAGGGCTATGGTATTGCTCCTGATCAGCCATTATCCAAGATGGAGAGTAATGAATAATGATAATGTATAATAAAATGTATGAGTTATTACAGTTACATTCAATCCAATTTCTGTCACATTACATTATTCCATCAAATACCATATATCGTATTGCAATGACTGTTCATCACATTCATTACTAAAGTACATCTAGGGAAAGGGATGTAATCAGTGCTACTGTGTCAGCAGTCTTAGAATGTCTGAATGCTTCATACTAGGACATCAAGCTGAATTCAAGCTGATTCCATTTTAATTTTGAGTGTGAATTGCTGAGCTCTATGGCAGATATATTGTGGGAGGACTATGGTATGTAAATTCAGGATAAATTGAAGAATATCTATACATCATAATCCAACCTACCTTGAGAACATTTGGGGAGAGTAATGATAAATGTAAAGAAACGGATTTAATTTGTAGCCTTGAAGAAGACACACTGCTGTTCACAAGCAGTGGCGGCTCCTGAAAAAATTCTCAGGGGGGGCAATTTTTCTGATGATTTAGGTGACCTACACACATTTTAAAAAAGATATGTCCAGCAACAACATGAAGACAGGGGCAGCATATAAGTCAATACCAGAAGCATTTATTGACTGATCTGGGGAGATGGATTCCAGTTTCTGTGACAGATTATAAATAATCTCTGATGCCTTTGTTATATTAGCTTTTGGTTGAATGTACACAGCGGTAACAAACAATTGGGGGAACTCACGGGGCAGATAGTAAGGTCGCAGTGACACAGAAAGCAGTTCAATGTCGGGGGTACAGAGTCGCTCTCTTACCAGGATTGATTTTCCCTGTGACTGTCAGATCGCGGTCCGCTCTGACCAGGGTGAAGCCGGCCGGCTCCACTTCTCTGTCCGGGACTCTGTCATCCAGCCAAGTCTCAGTAAATGCCAGCAAACAGGCCTCCCGATATTCGTGTTGGAAGCGCAGATTCGCTGACAACTCATCCGCTTTCCCCCTCAGTGACTGGCCATTAATCAGCAAGGTGGTGGGTAAGGGAAGTTTGTTCTGCTGTATTGGATTCCGCTGCCAGCAGCGTTTTCATTATTTAGTCCGTTCGTAGCGGGTATGTACACGATCAACAAGATCAGTCCAAAACCCACCACT